CTTTAGCCGTTAATTGGTAACTCCGTGAAGATTCCCTCCTGGATAATCATAGGGACCATCCTGTAAGGTCAACTCAGTAGTTTTGTGTGGACTACTTAGAAAATAACATTTGATGTTACCACACAAACTTTTATATTCAGTCCAGAACAACGCCGATTGGCAAACCTTACTTGTGTGTTTTGTAATTCTTGATATCTCACCTTCTTTTTGAATGTCACTGAAATTTTTCCCTACTTTAATGCACAGTGAGGACATCAACATGGCAACTTTAAGTTACCTCGTAAGTCCACACTAAAAAACGCTACAACCAGTTTGGTCGCGACTATATCTAACTGATTATTGAGTGAATGAAGTGTATTAAATGTTTTCTTCGCGTACAAAGAGTATTTGGCTTTGTCGTCTTGTTTTACTTTGGTAGTAAATCTGAGGTGTTTTCTACTGTTGTCGTAACATAGTATTAAATTTCGAACTACCTTCTTTGATTCATTTTTTCTTTGGTAAAATCCAGATGGTCCGTCTATTTCCGTGTCCCATGACGAGGGGATTGACTGATACATATAACAGCAGTATAACTAAATTCATAACAAAATAATATGACCAACTGACGTGCACACTAATAACGAATGAAATCAAAGAGGAATGACGATGAACATACACTGAACCGGACTGAAGCGGTAACGGAATTCGATTGAAGCCAGTATTGGATCTTTCTGTCCTCGTACTAGAAATAACACTGGTACTAGAATAATAACAACCGTTATACGATTGTAGTAATCCAGAACGGTATCAGATAGTTATCAAAATGTAGCAAGCACCTCTACCACTAAACAGTCATATTATATAACATATTTCTCCATACGTTGACCATCTTCCAGATATGTCGTCGAACCCATGCATTCCTAATTGTTGGTTTAACCGGGTATGAATCCTCGGTTACAAAGGTGTTCCAGACAACGACCTTGCCAAACACAGAACTTCCGCGTCATCCTTAAAAACGATGGGTAAAAAACACCATTTGGTTCAAACGGTTTGCCCACCAGTCCGGCATTTAGCGGAGATTTCAATCACTGCTATACAATAGTAGTTACTTGGCAGTAAGCATTATTATATTGTTTCCAGGAAATTAACAATAATAACTGCAAGATCCTTTTTAGAAGCACTTTGTGAATAGGCATGAATATCTCACTATGTACACTTTTGATATGTAACTTGTTGCTTTACTTTTCGACGTGAAGTTATTCTTTTTGGTTCATTTAGCTGTACAATCTGTTGAGATTTAGATATTAGATGGGCCAACTTTCAACTTTTTATTTTAGTTCCAGTTTTTCTAGCGTTTTTATTAAATTTCTATGAAATTCTCGAACTACTTCAACATTATTTTACTTAAAACTATGGTTACGATGATTTCCAAAATAATTCGTTCCTACCTTTTTAATGAGTTACTTGAACGAACAGAAACTGTTCATTTTTTGGCTGTGATTTGATGCGTGATTCCCGGAGTGAAGACATTCTCTGTAGTTTTGCGACCATATTTTTGACTCCAGTTAAATCGTATGATGATTGCCATAGAAATATACATCCCACAAATTGTCGTACATAATTATCAACTTAAATCACGTTAGTAAATAACGAAATAGGTTTAATACAAGAATGAAGTTTAAATACGTATATTTCGTACACTCATTTATCTGGACAGACAGTCAGAGAAACGAAGCAAAGAGGAGAGAGCAAAGCGAGACGAAATGACGCGCAGTGAAGAAGGAGAATTGGTCAACTCGTTTCGGTCAAGCCTGACCAAATATTTATGTTCAGGTCGAAAATAAGATACAGGGACGTGAAGAGTAGGGTGATCAATTGACACATATACGATCACTTAATAACAGTCAGGGTTAATAAGCAAATAAGTGACAAGGTCGGAATGAAGCTTGAGAAGAATGAATAAATTGGTCTGTTCAGGAGCCAAAATAACCTATGTGGGCCTGGCGTGGTACTAGCCACGATAGTCGTGACGAGGATTTAAGCCTAAAGTACTCAATAATTTCCTTTTGGAACCTTAGAAACTAAATATTATCAGTGAGATAAAGTAAACTTGATCTACCCTGAAAGGTTAGAATAATATTCCTGTATTCACAGATACGTTTATTTTTGTGATTGATAAATGTTTCATGTTCCTTATCAATTTACTACCTATTATAACTTAGATTTGATATTTTGGGTCATTTATTGTTTAAGTAACTAAAAGGTCATATTTGTTAAGGTAATAGTGTACATTTATATTTATAACTTCACAAAAAAGTTTCGGATCCAACCAATTTCAAATTGTCTGCATCTGGAAATAATAAGAAGAGATAGTACGAGTACGTCTTCTGAATATTATCACAGACACTATGTTCCAACCAAAAGCTATGAAACGACATGCACACTGTTAATAATTTCAAGGAATATCGGATGGATATAATGTTCTCGAAGAATCAAATTTCGATAGGGATAGTAAAAAACAATAGTTTAAACACTGTCACTCCTTTTATAGCCAGGTCTCCTGATCCCACAAACCTACAGTTGGTTGATGCCGATAAAACCAGTCGATTAAATGACCACAGGCAGTCTAAAAATTTTCTTGCTGCATTTGTTTGGATAAGCCTTTACGTGAAACGTTTCTTTAGGTGAAAATCTCTATCTACTACTTAAAACTTAAGTTAATGTTGAAGTCCCTTTGTTTCTGTGTCTAACGGTTATTTTTCGACCGACAGTATGATGTTATCATTGTCCATGTATGAATCCTCCGATGGTTGTAGTTTTCTTTTGCCCAGACATATATTTTGGCCATCGCTGTGCTGATTTTCTTTATTTCGACTGTCTGAACTCGTGTTGGCTAAGTCATAGACACTTTTACGTTCCTCATCTGACAGGGACATCTGTTAAATCACGGTCTACATTAGTTATTAGTACTGCTTTAATAATATACCTATTCCTAAAATTGCAGATTCGTCGTAATGTGGCTACCTAATCCACAAGATTTAACGTGGAAGTCACATCATTGTCTACACTGACTCGTCCTGTCATAATCACCGCCAATATATGGTGGAAAACACATTTAGCCTGGAGATTGAATAAAAGAGTTGTTATACAGAATGACCACTCCTGCAAGGCTAAGCCGTGCCATCTGATGAATTGAGTTTCGAATTAATGTTCCCGTGTTCACCATTACTTACCTTCTCTTAGGGTTATACGCTAAAGTTTATTTTTCCAGTTATCTCATGTTTAACTTTGAGGATGGTAGTTAGGACCAATACCACCAGTGGGTCCCACTGTACAAACTTTGCAGCATCAGTTGCTTCTAGCTAGGCTCAGAAATGGGTGTTTGGTAAAACTGTCATCACCCAACGATTGTTTTGGGACACTCTGGCGTTAAAAAGAGAGGACTGACTAACCCAAGTAGCTATAAGAACCGCATCAAGGATCCTAGATATTGAAGTAGACACCACATCATACCACTGAGTAGGGATTCTACTCAACATAAATTATCCGTGGGAATATCCAACATCTGATGCAATAACATCAGAAATGTGACTAGAATTCCACTCACTCGGAACATATTTGTCATATTCATTAGTAATATCACTGGAGATAATATCATTTTGAGGACCACAGACACTTGATATGATATCAGAATTTCATTTTTCTGAAATATTTCCCTCCAATTTTTTAAGTTTCATTAGAGAATAATGGATCATCAGAAAAATCAGCATCTACCAAAACTGAATCAGGTTTTTGATCATAATTTGACTCACTCAACATATTATACTCAAATTTGTTAGAGATTTCATCAAAAATATGTGAATTATTATGACAAACCACATCTGGTACAATAAAATGAGAAATCCGATAACAGGTTGGTAGGTTGGAAACTTTTCTCTCACAGTGATTCTGGGTTTCATTCAACTCTGGACTGTTATGTGACGTTAAACCGCTTATTGGAGTCTTGGATAAACATATGTGGTCATTAGAAACAACCGTCTTTTTAGGATCACAATCTTAAATTTTAGCATTAGTTTCAGCGAAATGAACGATGATATTACAAACTGACTAAATGTGTGCAATTTTACCACATTTAAAGCATTCAGAATTACAAAATACACATGAATTAAATAGGTGGAACTTGCCATAAAGCAAGAATTTACCAAGCTTGTGATTATCATCGTGAAATGTTTCTCAATTTAGTGAATTGTTATCTGAATGACCTTGATTACTCAATGGACTGGGACGATGTGGTAAAGTAGTGGAATTCCTGGTGTCCTGGCGAATCATTTCATTGAATTTTTTCCCCTTTACCGCATTCGAAATTTGTATACTTTACATGGTCCAGTAGTAGTTGCTTGATAGTTGCATCAGAAGTCAAATTGGTTTGTCTGGAAATGCCAAAGTCTTTATTAAGTTGTATGCTTCTTTTCGGATGAGTGTAAGGGAATGAGACACAATACTAACATCCTCAACATCTTCGTTAGTCATAGCCTAGATTCCGAACCTTTCCATGTAATTCTCAGAAGAACTAGAATCTGAATGTATGTCCGACCGTTCAATCTCAGGCTCCATCGTGATGCCAATGTGATAATCAGAAGTATTTGAGTTATTGTACGAACTAGGGATCCCATAAATAATGCTATTTAGATCAAGAAGATTTAAGCGAGCACGAACGAACGTACTGAATTTTTAAATCGGTTAGTCATCAAGTACGAAAGAGTCATCAGTTCATACAAAAATCACAACTACATAATGTCATATTCTTTGACGAACAAGAAGAAAAAAGAATTCCTGTCCGTCATCCATGAATTTTAATGACTTGGTAAAATAAACAGTTGAGTGCTGAAAAACGTTACAACGGGATCACGTGTTTGTTTTTATGATTAATTCAATCAAATAAAATAACATGAAAATGTAGCAAACCTTTTTGTTTAATCACATCAAGACTTCAATATATTAACTTTTGGAGGTTAAGTACCAATATAAAATTGGTTTAAGTGTGGTATGTCCGACTACTATTTTAGAACTTTCATACTTTTTAAGTTGATATACCATATATATCTCGGTGACGCTTTTGCGCGAATGTATTATTTTTAAGACACAGTAGTCTCAAGTAAAGTATTATGGGTATACTATCTCACTATACATTTGATTTAGTGTATAAAATTGAGATTTAGGTCTTCATTTAGGCCTAGAATGGCATTATTGTAGTCTCCTGAGCTTTTCATGGACAGGCTTATTATAGTTACAATGAGAGATTACTATTTTAAACGATGAACTATTCAATCTCCCAGTTTAAATAACATCATTTTTGGAAAATAGAACTATGATTTTGTTTTCCACTAGTATATTATCACATTGTTGCTGAACGTGATGTGTATTTCGTTGTTAATTCTTATTTAGCATTGCCCCTGTTGAGTGGAGAAAGTTATTGTGTTACCATCTATGTGCGAATCGGGATTTTTCTAGCAAATCAATCTTTGAAATATGATTGACATACGTACAATCAAATGGACGAGTTATTAGTGTACAGAAACCAATTATCAATATTTTGATCAAGTGTGTTGTGTGCACTTAGGTTTTTCGTTTGCTCTGGTTGAACCGGAGAAACTGCTTGGCGTCATACATATGCGAAACTCTTTTTTAATGTGGTTCTGGGTCTACGGCTTACAAATTTATGTAGTATAACTTTTTGCACATAGCGTAAGTTCCTCTCAAAACGTTGAAATATTTTTATTGTATTGAAGTTTGGTGCAGTTGGTAGCTGTTTTGTATAAAGGTGTAACTTCATAAATCTATCAAAATGATATTTGAAACAAATTTTAAATTCAATTTCCATTTGCAAAAGTGATGGTTTACTCAGTCTCAATAGTTCAACATACTTATGAATAACTTCACCCGTGATTACCGTGAGAATTTAAGACATCTATAATAAAACGTTTGACAATACTTGTAAAATATGGCCGAAGGTAATAAAAGATTTTCGACTCTGTGAACCGTTTTTCTTGATTTAAAGAATTAAATACTCATTTAGAATACTTATTATATACATTTAGTGGTTAGTCATCCCTGTGCAACCAAATAAATTTTAGCCTAGTTTTGTCATGTGAGATTATGAGTAGTCCCTGAAGTACAAGACTGTTGAACTTACGTCTCCATTCGTGGCATTAACTCCATGAAACGTATGAAAAGTAACTTATTTTGCGCATTCTGTTTAAGATACACCATCTGAAATTTCTATTGTTAATCTTAGTTTACTGAGAGTACTCTTTACTTTCAAATTTTCATTCTGACTTTATTAAATAACACTCGCTTCAGTATCTCTAGACAACATTAATAAATTCTTATGCGGGACCACTTTCAATGGTGATTATGGAAGTTTCTCCGAAAATTTCTTTTTGTTGAGATCAGATCTTTGTCAATGATAGGGTTTATAAAGCATCAAAAAACATGGTAAAAATTTATGCAAGGTTTGTGAAAATGTCCCAAAGCACTAAAGTAAAGACAGAAGAACGTTATTCGACATCGCTTGATTGTGTAATCTATTTATAGCAGTTGATATTTGCCCATTGTAAACTATTTCACAATTTTCTCGAGGGCTTATGTTGCTGATCCTTATCCTTTTAGAGTGAAGAAACGTTTTGATTGAGTGAGAAGTTAGTTAGAGCAATAATATTTAGGAACGATTTAGTTCTGCCAAAATTTTGTTTGATTAAAACTCATTGGGCTCTTTTCACTACTTCATAGTAAAATGACCTATAAAAATATTTTATTTAGTTTTCCATATGAAGTATTTCTGAACCGATTAGGTATTAAAAGGTATAAGCTTTACATAATACACTAGAAACTAAGACTGTGTCACGCTATTACAGTTTTAGAAAACGTAATAAATAACTGAAGAACTTCCTTGAAACCACAACTAAAAGTTATTTGCTTAAAAAGTGGAATAGATTTGCAAAAAGGTATATGGTATGAAAGCTGAATGTTCATAAATAGTCTCATCGAGTGTGTATGGTTTAGCAACTTTAAGGAGGTTATTATTCAGGAAACTGGAAATTTGAGTATATATTCAACATTGAGAACAGTTTGAAGTCCTGTTGTGTCGCAAACCAAATGGAGTTTGATAACCAAGACCGTTATGTTTTTTAAAAGGGACTTAGAAACTGCGTGCTTTCAGTGAAAACGGATAGAATCTGGGGTTGATCCTGCGAGAAGTTACGAATCTTCTTAATCCAAATTTTCTGATTGAAAAAGAACCTTTTTAGTTTCTCCACAGAAGTAGCTCTGAGCAAAGATACCTATACTACTTCTAACACAATCGCTTGTTTATCTTGTGCTTGCAAATTGAATTGGAGGTTATAACATTAAAAAGTCAGAGAATAGGTATAGTCGACAAAAATTCGTGTAGTAAAGCTAAACTTATTTTACTTGAATCTTCCTATTCTCAGAGATTTTCTAGCTATATTATACAAACTTCTCAATTTAGGTCAATCATTTATTGGTGTTTTGACAGTTATGAGAGGTCAAAATAGTGACCTCTAAATTTCCAAAACTTATGACATTCAAAAACTGGAGACAAAATTGGGGTTAATAAGCTAGCATTACAACAAGTAGTTCTGACACATTTAGTAACCTACAGATGGCTTATACTGCTGACCAATATCAGAGAACTAGATGCCAAGGATAAGCATTCTAAACGACTGTCCAGAATTCTTAAATGCTTTGGAAATAAATTTTTGAGGATCGATTCTTGAGAGTCAGAGTACTCCTGAACCCCTAGAAGAAACTATTCTTCAGAACTTTTAAACAATTCAGTTTTCCTAATTAATCAACTATACTATAGGGTTACATCCGAGTGTTCACTTCTGACTTAATGAAATAAACTGTTCATGGTTTTCTTCCTGAATATCGAGTCTATTAAATAAAAATAACTAACGACTAAGATGGATACATGACAATGTTAGTTGTCATCAAAAACTGATAGCCAATGAAGGAACGCTAGAAATATAAATCCTAAAACGGTTCTTGAGTCCTTTTGTAGTGCTCTTTGGCAGTACTTCTCGACTACTGAATATAAACCGAATCTGAAGAAAAGAGTTTCACAGACGACATCAATTGGTCGTCACCATACACCATTTGATTTTTGTTACCTCTATGAATAAAACTAACTGCGAATTGAGCTAGTACACATTTACAGTTCAAATAAACGTCTCTATCAAATTCCGAATCAGTTACTAGATGTCACTGAAATACTAATGAATTGAGGTTTTCAAATTAATATGGTAATGTGTTTTGAAACCAATTGTAGAGAAGTTTGACCGAAATAAGCTATTCAAACAATGTAAAATCTGCAGACGTAAAATAACGTAATCTTTTTTTCGAATACTTGATTTGCGGTGATCTATCAAAATTAAATGTATCTGCTTTCACTGTGAACTGATTTGACTGGTAGAGATATTGGAAACTAAATCGGATAATTCATCCACCTATTTCTGAGTTTTAGGGCTTTTCAAAACTGTGCATTGACGGCCTTCAGGGCTCGAGGACACTGTGATATCACTCAGCTATTAAGTTGGTACCGACTGATCTATGCTCAAATTAGCTGTTCATTGCTTCCTGGATCCCGTCAGTTTTTATTTTACTATTAGAGGATGCGTCGAAATACCTCTTCATGAATTCATGAGTCAGTTAAATATACTCTGTCACAAATACAGGCTGCTGAATAGCTGTAAATCACAAAGGATCACATCTCAATTTGACCCCGACCCGAAATCCAGAACTTTTGAGTAATTTTGACTCGTGAAAATGAGTGTTTGCATATTCACCACATAAAAAGTAATTGTCGGATAGAAAAGTGACTGAATTGATTTTATTTTTACTTTCCAATATTAGAAATTAACAATAATCTTTGTTGTGCTGTACTTATTAGCCTTCTATTGTGTCAAAGTATTGGTTTCCTGACTTATAAAGTTCAATATAAAGTACTCAGTGTTAGTCACTGATTTAAACGAAACACGACTAAAAAAACTCACCACTACTTGACATTTTATCCGCAAACCAAAAACAATCGAGGACAAAATTTTAAAAATGTTTCTATGTAGACTACGTTGGAACTTTGAAACTGATATTATACTTAGCATAAATATGAGTATATATTCCTTATCAAATACATCATCCGCTTCTCAACAACACAGTAACTAAATGACTTTTAATTTGATTTATTTAATCTTAGTTAATTTCTTCACTCCATCACACACTCCTAATTCAGTGTATATCTTAACCAGTAATAAGTATTTTTCAGTGAATTTCTATCTAATTTTAAATTCTGTCTGATAGATAGTTTTGCACTAAAAGCTAATAATAGCTAATAATAGATAGCTAATAATAGCTGTAATAATAGATAATAATAGATATAATAGCTAATAATAGATATAAGAAAATGATATCAACTGTTCTGTAACTACTGACTTAACTTATCTCACTTTTACAGACAAGTATTGGTGATTTTATTGCGTCCCCGTTGATTGTGAAAGCTTGATTTCTGGTAAAAGACGATTTTAAAGGAGGCCACATATAAATATTGAACCAAATTAAAGGTTTTATTAAAGTCTGATAATGGCTGGTGATGGAATCCATGGAGCGTGTTTTTTAAAAACTTATTTTGCAGTCGTCAGTTGGATATATCTGTATCTCAGTGTTAATGTTGACATTGGGACTTCAATGTACTACCTCTAATTTCAAACTTTATTGTCACTGAACTCTTCGTTTTTAACAGTTTTGTGTAATATTTTATCGGGAAACATAAATCAACCTTATTCATAAATCTGTCCATCGAAATATGTACACCAAATCTCGACTTGCATATTCCAACATTTCTCACCCATAAGTTGGCCTTAAAATGATGTCATATGAAGTCTTGTGGATTATATGATGCCACAGTAAATCAGTAGGACTCCATCACATATTTGGCCGATCTTTCCGAAGTTAATAACTTCCGTTATGACAAGCATAAAACAAATATTGGTTTAGCAGAGACTGACCAGTTGCAGTCCTAAACACATCGATAGGAAGATCCAAACAAACAATACTAATTATTGGTTTTCTCAAACTAATATTTCAACTTAGAAAAATATAAGTTGGTAAACTAAGAACAGAAAACTTTCATAAAATAAGCTTCATTACATATTTAAGTAGTCACATGATTTCTTTTGTTTTGAGAATTTTTCACTTGTCAACCGACAGCTGTCATTAATAAAACATCATTATTGTGCTACTTAAGAATTTCTTTTTTGAAGTATAACATTACCAATATAATTGAATGAACGCACTGTGAAATAATCAAAAATTATACCATCAGTATTTACACCAAATAAAATTAGAAATTAGTTGTTTGTGTTTGAACTAGTGTTAATAAATTTGTCTTCACCGTTAGAAATCAAGAATAAGCTTCTCAAAATGATATCATCATTTGTAGCGATGATAGTTATGATGCTTTGACTTTTTAAACAATTCAGTCTCAGGTTGGTACGATAGCAGGAGTCCAGAGACGTGTACGAATGTTAAAAAACCAAGTTAATTCGTCAAAAAGGATATAAAAATATTTTCAGAGTTTCAGTGATGATCGATACGAAATATTTAGTATTATATCCAAAAATATATCCAAAGAACTTTATGTACCAAAAGACTAGTGATTTCAGTCCTAT